CGCTCCTCCTTGACCGCAGGTAGATCCTCATCTTCCTCCTTCTTCATCGCTGTCTCGTTCTCGTCGCTCCTGATCTCTTGTTCGACTCGAGCTGGTGCCGGTGGAGCAACTGCATCTGGCACTGTTGGATCGTCATCACATTGTTGCTACTATGATGGTGCTGCTGCGGGTGCATTATTATTATTATCTGATCTCTGCGCCGGTGGCGGTGCTGGTGCAAGTTTGCAGTTACCTGGCTTCCTGGCGTTTTCTTTGTCGGCCATCGCGCCAAATCTGCAACGTTCACATCCCCGGTAGACACAGGCGTGGACCAGGCGGAAGATGTATGCCATCACAGAAGCTCCTGGGATACACCGCTGCCATGGCTGTCCGCTTGACGCCGTCTACCGAGATGTCCGCGTGCCATCTTGCGCCCCCAGTGCCTCGCACATGCTCTTCACAGAAAAAATGCGCCCAGCCGAGTCTGGCCCCTGACAGGCTCGTTCAGCTCATTCGAGGCTCCAAAGGCGCACTGATCCGTCACGTAGGTCTTCATGACACCGCTGTCGACTGTTAGTGAGAAATCCGACTTGTCCCAGAAATCACTGTTGTGAGGGTTCTCTATTGCGCGTCGCTGATCGTCGCTCTGCTCATGAATATGATCGTCAACGCCTGGTAACTTCGCTCCGTCTGGCGATCCGTTGGATCCTTGTCTGCTGGCAATTAACCATGGCGTGCACGTCGGTGACCAGAAGGCGACTGAGATCTTGCAAACCCGTCGAAGATGATGCAGGTGATTCTGATGATGCGCACTCGCCACGCTCCAATTACATCGGCAATCCATGGGTAAGCCAACCAGAAGACCTTGAACGCATGCACAATGGCTGGGACGACCGCTGCCTGACATTCGTTCTTGCATATCAACATGCGCGACGCCCATGCGCTTCAACCACCTCGTGTAGTTCTCGGGCGTCACCAGCGGCAGCTGGGTTTCGAAGTAGAACTCCTCAGGCATAACTCGGTAGATTTACTCCATGTGTTTCTTCGTGCCATCGTCGAAGTCACGCGGCCAGAGATTCGCGCCGTTCCAATTCGTCGTCTCGAAAGATCTCCATCGCTGGTAGTAGGCCTTGCCGGTCATCCGCTCGCCGTGGTAAGTGTCGTTCACTTCCGCTTCTGGTGCGTCGAATCTCACTCTCATTCCACTCTCTGAGGTCTGAGCTACTGAGTCGTCGACCACACCAGTCGTCACTGTCGCGCCAGCAGCAGCTGGAGTCACCATCTCCATCTTCCCGCCGGGCTTCACGCTATGCGAGTCAGGCACATTGGCGCTCAAACGCCGCCGCTGGCTCGACTCGCCAACAGCAGCTGGAGCCACCGTCTCCATCTTCCCGCTGCGCGCGCCGCCATGCGAGTCAGGTGCACAGGTGCTCAAACGCCGCTGCTGGTTCGGTTCGTCATTCTGAGAGAAGAGAAACTTCCGTGCTTGATACTCCGATGCCTTCGCCGTTCATGATCTTGTCCATGCATGCTCTCACTGCTCGTCGGAGTCGGTCTCGTTCCTTCCCTGCCCCAGCACTCGGGTCAATCGGCGGGATGTAGTGTCCAGATTCCGCGTGGAGAGCTCGCATGAATGCCGTCGGGCGCAGCTTATTGCCGAGGCCGCCCAGGCCGTCGACGATGAGCACTCCATCCTTTTCCGGCAAGATGCCCGCCAGGAGGCCCATCGCATTGTTCATCGCGCGTTCCAGCGGCGTCAGCAATGGGCATATGCTGCCAGCGCCGCCCAGCATATCCATTGGCCACTCCGTCGATTCCCGGAAGCTTCGCTGCCGAGCTCGCCACTTCCAGCTGCTGACCTCTGGGCCAGAGCAGCATTTCACAAACTTCGCGGAGACCTGCTGCGCCTCCTAGACCCTTGGCGGCGCCCGGGCCAATGACGAGGCCCAGCCGCCGTTCTCCTCGAACTGCACGGCATGCAAATGCCTTGCCAATGCCGCCGTCGTCTTCGCCACCTCCAAAGAAGATGCGTCGACTAAGCAGCGAGGTGCTCCGCAAGTCCAAGAAGGATCCCTTTTGCGGTGAGCCAGGTGTTCGCGCTGATGATGTAGCCTCTGGAGATCTGGCTCGCATCGGTCGGTGCTGGCCCTGGTCGTCGTCGCCCCCTGTGATCGTCGTCTGCTTCGCAGGTCTCGAAGGAAAGTCAATCTTAGAAGGCTGAGATCCGAACTCCGTAGATGTCTGCGTCGATGTCCTGGTCGCGCTGTCCAAGCCGCTGCTGAAAAGGATTGTTTTTTCGCCTCCTCCTTTTGTGCATCTGGAATAAAGTCCCAGAGAGATGTCTTGAATGTCGTTCGTCATTTGCCTGGATGATCTCCGTGTTGCCGCCCTTTGTCGAGGCCTTTCTTGGTTCCTGTCCAATAGGGCTGCGAGGGGCATTCGAATCCATGATCGCATTCAGTATGATGCGCTTTGTGATAGACATCTGCAGCTCGCTCACTGAGGGATGACTCAGATTCGCAATGACCGCACTCGTCCATTCTGTAGGTTGGGCAGGCGAAGCACTGCGTCTCATATGCGCCGTCAGCAACGCCTTCGCGCATGGGACGCGGAGAATGGACAGCGGGCGCCCGAGGTATATTCCAAGAGCCTGCACTCGAAGATGCTGAGGATGGTGGCGCCTCCTTCCGCGGCAGGTCCTCGCAGGCGTGCAGGTTGAGTCTGATATCATATTTAGCGCCATCTGCACGCGAACCAAACACCGATGCGAATCAATGACCACCTTGTTTCTGTCCGCTACCATGTCCATGTCCCTGTGGAAGTCGTCCTTTGTTCGCCGGGCAGTCCGCATTCTTGTGCCGCTTGGAACCACAAACACTGCACCCATTGCTGCCGCTGTCGCCGCCACCTGACTTTCGGCTCTTGGTGCTCATCTTGCCACTGCTTCTTCCACCCCGGTGTGCTTGACGATGGTCCTCGTAGTGGCTACTGCTCCATCGCCCTTTACCTCGTCATTTTCCTTCCGGTCCGCGTCCTTTTGATCGTCCTCGTCCTTTGTCTCTGCTTTTACTCTTGCCTATGCCTTTTCGCCGATAAGTGCCACCGAATATTTAGCGACGTCAAAAAAACCTGACATCTGGTACACTTGGTCCAGCTCCGCGTCGTCAAGCCATGCCTCTATGATTTCTGCCTCATACCAAATGTCGTCGTCGTCGTATGCTCCGTAACTTCCATCACCGTTCTCTGTCTGGTACTCTCTGTAGTGCAGACCACTTTCCTCGTCATAGGTCCAGTCTATCAGCTCGCCGTATTCGTAGTCCTGGTAGTAGTCCAACACGTGTTCGGTCTCATTGTTTTCCTCCATATAGTGAGTACCCGACCTGCCCGTGTTCATCTATATGCAACTTGACGTCGCCGATGCGCCTCGTCTGTAATCCACTCCATTTGAACAACATGTGTGTCAATCCGACGTTGCTGATCGTCAAATTTGCCTCGTCATTCGCCTCTGTGTATCTCTCTCTGCAGGGTCTGATTGCCACGTCGAGTGTCCAGAAATCTGTCCAAGAAATCACCCTGCTTATATTGATCGTGTGCCGCGAATGCTTCCGTCAGCTTCTGCATCAAGTGCCCTGCTCCTGGTACGTCTGCTTCGACCATGATTTTGCCTGTTGCATCTCGCTCTTCGTCAACTCTGGGCAATGCGAGGGCTGCGTCTCCTGTGTACTTCTGGTCGCCTCTCGTCACCTCTAGACTCGTCGCAATAGTGGATGCGCGATCCAGAAACCTTGACGCCATACTTGGTCCAGCCTCTCGTTCACCCAGTGGCGTCAGCCGCCACCAGAGATGCAGCCTATGCATGTAGGCCTAGAGAGGGTATGAATCGTCGAACGGTTTCCATCCTGGTGGAGCATATCGGGTGCACTCCAGTAATCGATCTGGGTGTTTGTAGTCAGCCATTGTCTCTTGTAACAATCGTGCTGAAGAATAAGTCCAACACACACACACAGCCTGACCGGCTGCTGTCGGAGGCGAAGAAGATTTCCGCGAAAACCTTGTCCTGTCTGTCTCTGTGGAGATACCGTTCTTCTCACAGATACTCTGGTGTTTTTCCTCGAAGGCGCTGGCCTTCATGAGGTAGTAGCTGACCTCCGCTAGGAAGGTCCACACGGAGCGCTGCGCTGGCAACGCGTGGCCGAGGATCTGCTCCTCGAGATAATGCCTGGCGCCGCCGGGTGCGCGCGATGGGGCCGCGCGCGTGGTATGGAGCCGTAGCTCCGCTACCAAACTGGATTGTTTAGTCGCAAATCCCTGAGCCCTAATATGATTACGTCGGGTCTTCGTCGCTGTTGCTGCTACACTGCTGTACATCATTCAGGCTCTGAACTCATACTACACTTGATCTTAGCCGAGCCCTAGGGTACATCTGAAATCTCACTCCCCCTCCCCCTCCACCTCCCCCTCCCCCTCCTCCATCCTCCCTCCTCCCTCCTCCCTCCCCCTCTCCCTCCCCCTCCCCCTCCCCCCCCCTCCTCCTCCTCCTCCTCCTCCTCCTCCTCCTCCTCCTCCTCCTCTCCTCCTCCTCCTCCTCTCTCCTCTCCTCATCATCATCATCATCATCATCATCATCATCATCATCATCATCATCATCATCATCATCATCATCATCATCATCATCATCATTCCCCACTCCTCCCTCCTAGACCGCGGTGCTTTGTTCAAAACAAGAGCCCAACGCAGGAGGGCTGGGAAAAAACAGATCCTCGGAGATCTGCTGATGTGGAGGTCCTCCTCTGCCGTTCGAGCTGGGCTGGCCTGGGGGGAGAGCGGCAGGGCGCGGCGACCGGCCGCGGCCGCGGGGGCGGCCGCCCGACCTGGATGTTCTTGCTGGTCTTCAAGAGGCCCCCAGGAAGCTCCCAGGGGGCCCCAAGGCAGCTCCTCGTCCTCCTCCTCCCTCCCTCTCCTCGTCCTCCTCCTCCCCCATATGTTCCCCCAAGGGTTTCCACGGCCGCTGGGGCGGCCGCCGGAACTGGATGTTCTTGCTGGCCTTGTTGAAGTAGTCACGGATCTTCTTCTGCGCGGCGGGGCACGGGAGAGGGTGGGGCACGAGGGTGCAGGCCGCCCCATTGCGCGCCAGGGTGCCGGGGCACCCTCTTGGGGGCCGAAGGCCGCAGGCGTAAGTCGGGCCTGCCCCCTTACAGGGGGAGTTTCGACGAAAAATAAAAATGCCCCAAAAATAGTCCAGAAATAATCAAAAAATAGTCTGGGGACTATTTTTTTAGTTTTTCTTTTTACCATTTGGGGGTATTTGCTGGGCTTTTTTTGCATCTTTCGTCGAAGATCCCCCTGCAGGGGGACAGGCCCGACCTAACCGCAGGCGCGGAGGGCGCGCGCAGAGGATCAGTTGGCGACGTCCGCGAGTGCGCGTTTCGTGGACACGTTCCGCGGGCGCGGTTCTCCTGACATGGGCCCCCCCCAGGAGCCCTCGGCCCCTCCACCAGGGCCCGCTGGTCCACCCGAGCCGCTCTTCGAACGGTCAGCCACAGGGCCCGGAGGCGGCGACCGCCCCGGGAGACCGAGGCCGCCCAAGAGTCGAGGCCGCCGCGATCTCTCGGGTCGCACCGCCTGGATCTAAGGGAACGGCGAGCCTCCAGGTGGCGACATGCCATACTCTACGACAGGTTCGTGCGGCGTCGGCGCGCGCAAAGGTTTCGGCAACCGCGTCGATCGTTCAGCAGCGGCCCCGATCGTTCAAGGTTGAATTCCGTCGGGTCCGGTGGCGTTCCCGTGTCCCTCGGTGCTCCCGCGTCGCAAAATTCAACTTTGGAACGCCTTCGCCAGTGGCCGCCGGCGCGCCAACGCCGCATGAACCTACTGTACCCCCAGCAACAATCGATTCTCCTGAATCGATGGGAGGCACGAGTTCGACGAATTCCGAACTCGACCACCGCCGCCCATCGAGTTGCCTGAATCGTGGATCGGCGAGGGCGGGGTTCGGATTTCGCCGTCGAGGGGATGTCCAGGAGAGTCTGGAGGTGCCAGGGCTGGGTGCTGCCCGAGGTGGCCCTGGCCCAAGGGCGGCCCCACTCTCCCCAGGCGGGCGCAGATGCCCTCCAGGGCCGCCCCCTCGCGTCCCGCGGGGCAGCGCAAATTGCAACCCTGCTCTTCTTTGATCGATCTCCTTCAAGATGGCACAATGAGGCGCCCAGGAGGCTCCAAGAGGCCCTGAAAAGGTTCCTTAGATGCCTCCAAGAAGCCTCCAACAGGCCCCAAGAGGCTCCCCCGAGGCAACCCAAGACGTTCCAAGAGGCCCCCAGGACCGCCAAGAGGCCCCCAAGACGCCCCAAGAGGACTTCAAAAAGCTCCCAAGAGACATCCCAAGAGACTCTGCGAGGATTCTGGCCTTTTCTGCTCGCCCTTTTCTTCCTCTTCCTTCTCTTTTTCGCATTCCTCATCCGCCAAGTCCTGCTCCTGCCTCGTCCCTCCTCCCCCCTTCGGTTTCCTCTTCCTCCTCCTCCTCCTCTCATCATCATCATCATCATCATCATCATCATCATCATCATCATCATCATCATCATCATCATCATCATCATCATCATCATCATCATCACCACCACCACCACCACCACCACCACACACCACCATCCATCATCATCATCATCATCATCATCATCATCATCATCATCATCATCATCATCATCATCATCATCATCATCATCATCATCATCATCATCATCATCATCATCATCATCATCATCATCATCCTGCCCCTTCTATTGATTTTCCATCCTCCGCCCTCTTGGAATCGGACGGTTTCCCCAGCCTTTGGTTCCCCCGTATGCTCCCTCATTTCTCTGACTAGGGCAACTCGTGGACATCGTCTCTAAATGGGCATCTCGCCGCTCCCACATCCGAGGTCCACTTCTGGGTCTCCTCCTCCTCCTCCTCCTCCTCCTCCTCCTCCTCCTCCTCCTCCTCCTCCTCCTCCTCCTCCTCCTCCTCCTAAGACGACGACGATTCCTCCTCCATCCCCCTTCTCTTGGGGTATATGAAGACTTCCCCCGCCCTTCGTTTCCTGCGTGCTCCCCCACTTCCCTGGTCACCTCCACTCCCCTGGGTATCGTTTCTGCATGGGCTGGTGGGCATAATTACTTTGACTTTCGGTCGCGTCCACCAGCGAAGGCGCTAGCGGAGTCAGAAGCGCTACGGGTCACGAAAGCGGCCTAATTAGCAGCTAAACGCGCCGCAAGCCGACCGGCCCACTCACCCAGCAGCGGCTGACTGCGAGGGGGGAACGGCGAGCTGAGGGCGTCCAGGAAGCTCGGGCACTTGAAGCACAGCAAAATGCTGGTGAATTCAAGATGTGCCGAGGCTGGTGGGCATACTTTTTTGGTCGGCGGCTCCGAGGCAACGGTCAGGGAGCGGAAGGCGTCGTCTGGGCCAGCAGGCGAGGCTAATTAGCTACAACAAGCAACGCACCTGCAGTAATAATTCGCAAAGAATGCGAGTTTGCACATGCACTGCTGGTGGGCATACGCGGAGCGTCAACAATTGATTCACACAAGAAAGCGGGCAGTGGCAGCAGCGGTCGTCGGTGCCAACGGCCAGCAGAAGCAACGTCAGCTACTTCGCCGCGTAGGTCAGCTCTCGGGTGAAGACAAACAATGGCTGCAGGGGCGGTCGGCGCTAGACGGCATGAAGTGGCAGCGACAGTTGTCAGTGCCAAACAGCGAGGAAAAACACTTCATCAGCTACAAAGCTGCCAGGGTCAGCTCGCGCGAGAGAGCAACGGCAACAGGGACTGGCAGCGCGGAAGGGCGGGCATTAGCAGCAGTGTGCCTGTGCGATAAGACAGGCAGTGGCAGCTGCGGTCGTCGGCGCCCGCTAACGCAGCAAGACCACCTCATCAGTTACAAAATTGCTGGGGTCAACTTGTGCGACAAGGACGGGCAGTGGCGGCAGGCGCTGGCCTTGCGAGATGAACAAGAGGGTGGCAGCAAGATTGACACCGCGCGCAGACGCAAGCGCACGAGCAAACGTCATCAGCTACAACGCCAGGGTCAGCTCGCGCGAAATGGCACGCTACGGGCGGCAGCAGGCGGCGACGCGCGCTAGGGCTCCCAGCAGGCCGCCAACGAAGGCTATGCCCCAGAGGATCGTCGATGGTTTCGGAAGCCCTTTCCTCGGCATTTCCCACAGCCGCCGAAAAAACAGCCCCTCGCAAGCGTGGTCGTCGAAGGCGACCACAATGGCATGGATGACTCGTCCTGTAAGTCGTGGTCGCCCACCTGTTCCACCCCTGCCCATTTCCTCGAGCGCGCGCTTGATGGAGCGACGCGCGCAACGAACAGGTTTGAGATAGCGGTTGAGGTACACCAGTTCTTGCACATGCTGCGCAGCAGCGATACCTGCCAAATCATCCCAAATGTACTAGGTGCCGCCAGAGGACGAGATGGTGTCTGCATCGGAATCGCTGCCGCCCCCGTTCTGTGGGTTTTGTCCACAAAGTGGCTGCTGGCGCAGCTGATGGCCGTGGCGCAGTAGGTGGAGGCGGTGCCCAAGCGGTAACATTCCCGTTAACGCCAGCGGGAGTCTGGGTAGCTTTGACCGGCTGCGGGTACACCTGGCTGTTCCTAACCGTCTGCTGGTGCGTCTCCGCCTAGCAACAAGAAGGTGCTCTGGGTGGCCGGGTCGATATGACGTCAGCCAAATCGGCCCATAAGTTGGACAATGTTTCCAGGCAATCGTTCAACAATGTGTCACCATCGTCGGATGGTCTGTTGGTCGTGTTCCAATGAACTGCAAGGCACCATTCCGTTCAATGGCTGCAACAATGTTGTAACTTCGTGGAGCGGTACACATCAAGGACGCACTAGACTGGTGACTAGATGCTCCAAATCGTCCAATCCAAAACCAGCAGTCACAGCGTCAAATCTGGCCACCTCCCGGCAGGCCAGGACGCTGTCGACGCGCTCGTGCGGCATGACCCGGATCCTTGTTGCAGCTGACGTTCGTTTTCAAGGCTCTCGAACTGTTGTGCTAGGTAGAAGAATAAATAGGTGGTTCGCGCGGACAGCGTTCACCTCGGCGCTGACGTGCATGACGCCTGATGGTATACGCATGGCCATGCTGCGAGCCAGGCTTTGGAGGCCCTGCTGTACAGCTGTAGTAGCCTGTTGTGACGGGGTCGTTTTGCCCGAATGCACGTTCAACCACGCTTGGACTTCGCAAAACCAAGCTCGGTAGGGCAAACTGCCTGCCAGGCCCCAAGAAGGTCCACGCGTTTGGTCGCCCTCCCGTTCACACATCATGCGTCCAAGTACGCCTTACATAGATCATATAGCGATATCGAAGACGAGGAGGCTGAGGAAGTGGATATTAACGGGGGTGCTGCCGGTGCTGGACGAACCGGCCGTGTCCACGATCAGTTCCAAATTGTGGTGGGTTCGCCAGTCGGCGTTCCCCCGTATGGGAGAAGGGGATATTCGTCACGCTTCCGTGCTCAAAGTATGGGTTGGGCGTCGCGCTCCCGCACTCGAAGGGGATGTTGTACGTCGCGTTTGAGGCCGTCGCAATAGCGGTGGCGGTTCCCCGCGCGCCCGTAGCCCGAGATGGTGTCGGTGGAATGGCAGTGGCAGCGGTAGCGTAGTGTCGGGTGATGATCATCGCGCTCTGGTCCTCGAGGTTGTTCTCGGATCCGCAGGAACGTCGGCGGAGCTCGGCGTAGGTGGTCATCACGCCGATGGCGGATATGAGCAGAGCTGCCGCAAGTGCTGGAAGCTCAGCTACCAAGTAGAAAACGAGGTCGGTATCCCTTTGGATGAGGAAGAACAGAAAGGGGGTACAATGAGGGGATGGCGATGGGAGAGGACAAAAAGCTGGTTGTCCACCCCACCGCTGCTAAAAAAGTGCTCCGAGCAGGCGGCACAAGCAAATCCCACCAGCCCTCTGGGCGTAAGTGGTCTGACGATATCTTTCTTTCCTCTTCCAAGACCCCTCTTCCCTTCGGGGAGGGGTACCCTCCCCCTCCCCTCCCAGGGGTCTGGACGGGGGGGTCGCGAGTCATCAGAGGGCCCTTTTCGCTCAAGATGGCTTCAAGAGGGCATCCGATGCTGCAAGATGGCCGAAATGAGGTCTCCAGATAGCGCAAGATCGCTCAAGATGACCTCCGCCATGCCTCCAAGACGCCGCAAGAGGGCCACAAGACGGTTACAGGTGCCCTCAAAGACCCCTCAGGACCTCCCCGAGAAGCCAATACCCTTCACATGACACACGAAAACCAATGATGTTTGCCTGCTCGCCATTTCGCTTCGGATGAATGTTTCAGGCGTCAAGATGGCCCCAAGATGACCCAAGAGAGCTCCAAGATGGGTCCAAGATGCCCCCCAGACGGCCCCAAGACCGCCCAAGAGTGCCCCATGCGGGGGCCAAGAGCGTCCCAAGATGCTATCTTGATGGCCCAGAACGGGGTCCTAGTATCCCCCTCTTTTCACCGACGCCCTCCACGACAGCCCCAAGAGGCCCTCCAGGGCTCCCAAGAGGCCCCCAAGGGAGCCCCAGGAGAGCTCCAAGAGGGCCCCAAGAGGGCCCCAAGAGCGCCTCGTCGTCTTCCTCCTCCCTCGCGGCCCCACGCGGCCCCCAGGGATGGCCCAAAGAGGCTTTCCAAGGCCACCCCCTTGTTCCCAGAGATCTCTCTGCTCACCCTGGTTGCTCGCTGTGTCCCGTCAGCTCTCAAGGTCAGGGTCCCTGAGTGGGCTGGTGAGAATACGCGAAGCGTGAAGACTTGGGCTGCGCCGCCTTGAACCCAGACAGTTGCAGGCAACGCAAGCCTTAAGCGCTCCCCCTGGGAGCGTACCTTCCGACTGCCCCATCCCCCCCCCCTTCGCCCTCCACACCGGCGAGGTCGGCTCAAAGGCTGGGCCTCGAGCTTATCTGGCTCCCACTCCAGCTCGAGGTGCGCGAAACCTGGGCGGGGGGGAGAAGGGGCGATGCGGGGGCAGGAGAGAAGAGGCAGGCAAAACAGGATCGGCTTTCGAGGATCCGAGTTTGGGATTAAAGGGATCAAGAAGGCCGAAGCAGACCCCAAGACGCCTCCAGGACGGCCCAGAGGAAGCCCGAGACGGCCCAAGGCGGCCCCAGGAGCGCTCCAAAAGACCTCCAAGACGTGCAAGCGGGACCCATGGCGGCCCAAGATGGCTTGAAGACGGCCAAAGAAGCTCCCTAGACGGCCCAAGCGGGGGATAAGGAGATCCCCCAAGAGGGCCTCTGGCAAACGAGCACGCCAGACTAGCGCACAGGCATCCCCGAAGCCTCCAAGAACCACCAGAAAGTCCTGCAACGCCCAGACTTCCCGCGCTCCAGACGCGCACCCTGCGAAGCCAATGGAATCCCAGGCCGGACTACGACACAGAAGCACGTCATAGGCATGGGGGACAGATCTTGGGCGTAGCCTCCTCGATCACATACGCAGCTCGTCTACTTAGCACTTGCTGGAAGACCATGTAATGTCCGCTGGCCCCCACTTGCCAGGGGTGCAAAGGCGTGTGAGATGATTGGCCGTCCCCCTCTCCCTTTCCCTCTCCCCTGGAGCTTGAAATCCGATTAGAGGGGGAGGGGGAGCCGGAGGCGGGGGTGGCAGGACTTCATCCCTCTTCTGGGGGTCAGCGAAATCGCGTAAGCCTCTTGAACGAACTAGAATTAGAGCACATAGAAACTACATCAACGGAAGTCCGCGCGCATTTCTTGGACCTGCGCTGAACCGCCCCGGCGGTGCCTCCAAGAAATCCGCGCGGACCTCCGGCGGAGATGGTGGCGTCGGGCAGTGCGCTGGCCCTCGGCCGAGACGGGCCGGCGGACCTTGCATGGTGTGGATGTTATCCCACCGCCTGGAAACCGACGTCCTGGGACCCCAGCGGGCGTCGTGGCCTGCCAACGATCGGGAACGTGCTCCCTCCGACCTGCTCCCTCCTCATCCTCCTTCCTCCTCTCCCCTTCCCCCTCCTACTCCAGGTCGAGAGCGAAGGTGCGTCAACACCATCGGCTATAAGCGCCAGCGTCAGATATCGCCGGGCTCCATACTTCGGGTTCGGGCCTCACGGGGCCTTTCACCCCCAACCAACCTCCAGGTCAGTCCTGGAATCCTGGAAGGGTTGGGGGTGCGCACCAAAGCAAAAGCCCACGTCGAATCACTCGCAGCGGCCCCAAGAGCGCCAAATCCCGCTAAATCCTACTCCGGGTCACCTAGACCAGCCACGCGCTGCGTGGCGCGCGAGGCGAGATTCTCTCCATGCTCTCGCGCCACCGCCCCACCTGGGCCCATCCTCCTCCTCCTCCTCCTCCTCCTCCTCCTCCTCCTCCTCCTCCTCCTCCTCCTCCTCCTCCGGACGCCTTGGGCTTTTCGCTCGGAAGCAGATGGCAGCGGCACCAGGCCAACAGGCCTAGGGTTAGGTAGGGCATGTCCTCCTACAGGCGGCTATCTTTACGCCATTCTTGTATATTCCTCCTGTGGAGGGACATGCCCGATTTCACCCTGGGACCTGTGGACAGGCATGACCACAGCGAGCCCCCTCGCCGAACGCCCAAGAGAGACCGTGGACATGCCCAGAACGAAAAGCATCCAGGGAGGAGGGAGCAAAGAAGAAGAAGAGAAGGGTGAACTTCCAAAGCTGGGGTCGATCTTGACCCTTGTGCCAGCTGCATGGGGCGAAGAAGTAAGGATGCAAGAGTAGCCTGGACAAAATACTGCGCAGCGCCTGGGCCCCTCTGCTGCACTGTCCGCCTGAAACCATCCCCTGGCTCCCCCGAGCGCCGTCCTAACAAAAGTTTCTGGCTGCGTCCAGCCATGGTCCTGATCGACGAGGAGATCCCCCGAGGCCCAGAAATGCCTTGAAAGATAATCCTCTTCCTCCTCGCCGCAGGTCTTCGGAAGTCTCCAGAGGTCCCCGCTGACATCTCTGGAGGTCTCCAGAAGTTTCTGGAGACCTCCAGAGGACTCCATGACGTCTAATAGGAATCCCGAGTCCAAACCAGACTACCAAACTGACAAACATACAAACAAACAAACAAGCAAACAACCAAGCAAGCGAGCAACATAAAAGGATCGCCCAGCGGGGACCTCTGGAGGTCACCGGCTGCCCGCATAGAGGAGACCGTCGACCGAAGACGACAGCGGCGACGGCAACGGACCCGGCGACGACGACGGCGACGACGGCGACGGCGTCGGCGGCGACGACGGCGACGACGGCGACTACGACGGCGACGGCGACGACAACTAACTACGAAGGCGACGGCGACGGCGGCGCCGACGACCGCGGCGGCGCCGACGACCGCGGCGGCAGCGGGGCCGGCGACTACGACGACGACGACGACGACGACGACGACGACGACGACGACGACGACGACGGCGACGACGTCGACGACGGCGACGGCGTCGGCGACGCGGTGGGCGGCAGCGGTGGCGACGGGCGGCGACGGGCGGAGGCGACGGCGGCCCCGGGGCGGAGAGAGCCTGCCACAGCCTGGGGCGGCCGCGTGCGCGCGAGCTGGCGCCGCCGCCGCCGCCGTCGTCGGCGTCGTCGTCGTCGTCGTCGTCGTCGTCGTCGTCGTCGTCGTCGTCGTCGGCGTCGTCGTCGGCGGCGGCGGCGCGTCGTCGTCGTCGTCGTTCGTCGTCGTCGTCGTCGTCGTCGTCGTCGTCGTCGTCGTCGTCGTCGTCGTCGTCGTCGGCGTCGTCGTCGTCGTCGTCGTCGTCGTCGTCGTCGTCGGCGTCGTCGTCGTCGTCGTCGTCGGCGTCGTCGTCGTCGTCGTCGTCGTCGTCGTCGTCGTCGTCGCCGTCGTCGTCGTCGTCGTCGGCGCCGTCGTCGTAGTCGTTGTCGTCGTCAGCGGCGTCGGCGACGTCGGCGGCGGCGTCGTCGTCATCCTCTTCCTCCGCCTCGTCTCAGAGAAGCAGGAGGTCAGGAGGGGCGGGGAGGCGAGGGGAGGGAGGAGCAGAAGAGGGGGCGGGAGCATAAAAAACAGAGAGGTCGGTCGGTCGCGACAGCGCAGGAAGGCCGTAGGCCGACGTTCGCCGCAAAGCGGGGCAGGCGAGCTGACGAGTCGGCTGGTCCGCCCCATCTGACAAATACCTTCTCCGACCACTCCGACGCCGTGGCACGAAGGCCGGAAGAACCCGCTGCACCTCTTGGAGCGATGCTCATGCAAGCCCGCAGGAGGGGATAGCGAGTGGGAGAAGAAACAGGCACATAGATATAGACTTCCAGAGGTCCGCGCGGATCTCTTGGATCGGAGCTGGACACCTTCTTCGTGGCGCGCAGAGCGCGCCAGGGGCGGCGCTGGAGGCGCCGCCGTGGGGGTCCAGCGCACCGACCCAAGCAATCCGCGCGGACAGCCGAAATGTTACGTTTTCTGCACCTGATACCTGTCGAAGCGACGAACGGACGAAGGGAAGCGAATCGATTCGAATCGAGCTACGGGGGCGCAAGCTTCGTCTGACCCTGTGAGGCGCCTGGGCATCTCCCGGCGATTCTCGCCAGCTTACGACACATTAACAGATCAAAACTCACTCCGCCCTCAGGACCTAGCTGGGAACTTGTGGGGCCACCCAAAAGAGGAGGGAGGGGGGGCTAAAAAATTGAGAGGCCGAGAGAGACCGTCACACGAGCGACGATCAAAAAAAGGGTCTCACGTGAGATGGCATTGCGACCTTACGTCGCGGCTTACGCGAGCCGCCAGCGCGGCACGCTGCACTGGAGACGAAGGCGCTTACGCGCGAGCTTACACGGGCAGCTCACGCGCCAATGTCAGGCCCGTTGTTCTTCGTCGCTCACCTGGGCAGGGGAGGAAGGGGGGGGGGCTCGGATGAGAGAAGCCGACCTGCGGGACTGGCGGCTGCGCTAAGCGCCTCGCTGGGCCGTCAGACCTGCAGCAGCAGGGCGGAGCCCCTCGCTGCGAGGCACTGGCAGAGGAGCAGACATCCGCGCGCCTCTCAGGGGGACGTACAATCAAAATTGACAGCAAGGATGCGCAGTGAGGATGCGAGGGCCTTGGACACCCATGCCGAGGCTCTTCGAGCGGCCGATGCAAGGGTACCTTTAGGAAGTCGCTCATCCTTACTATCGATTTCGATTGTAATGCTCGGGTTCGGGGGACTCGGGTTGGCCTGACGGTGCCGTCGGGAAAAATGACGACGGCCCAGCCTGAGATTCGTTGCGAGCTTCCGCTACAAACATCCCACGTCGTCGGACAACTTTGGCAAGCACGAACTCTGGCGAACTCGAGTCTTACGTGGGGGAGTCCCACGCTCGCTTGCTCAACATTGCCATAGAAAGGTTCCGCGCTCGTCCACACATGCTGCCAGCCGTGCACACACTGAGAGACGAAGCTAAACAGCAAGACCCCCGAGGGGAAAAAAGAACAGAAATCGGCGGTGGACAAACCTCCCTTTAGTAAACCACCCTTCAATGAAAACGGCCTAGGACCGAAACCGACGGACCTGGACACGCAAAAATGGCGGCCGCGACGCCTTCTCGCAAACCGAAAACGGCCAATTCATTAATCGACGTGTCAGGGTAGGAGGTCTATCAACCTCCGAAGAAAGTGAGCACGGCACGAGCCTCCCTTGTGGGTTGGACCCACGAGGGAGGAGGACACGCCTCCAGAGCCTCCGGAGAGCCCCCGCTTGCCGCAGACGGCCCAAGACTCGCCTCCGGGCCCTCCGGGGAGGGCCCCTGCTGCACCGAACGCGCCCACGCCTGGAGGGCCTCGGTCCTCGGTCCTCCATCCTCCTGTCTCACCGATGCTCGACCCTCGGTCCTCGGTCCTCGGTCCCCAGACCTCGGTCATCAAACCTAAAAGCGCGACGGAGGCGGCTACCAATAAGAAGGCCCCAAGGGATTCTGAGAAGGCAAGGGGGCTTCTGAGAACCCCTCCCGCTTTATAAGAAGCATTCTCAAAGCGTCTGCGTCCTTCTACTAGGGTAACTATCTTCGCGCTTCGCGCTCCGCGAAGCGCGAAGCGCGAATCTCTTCGCGCTTTCGCGCCGCCACCCCCCAAGAACAAGACTAGGGACTCGCGCCTCGCTCTGAAATTGCCCAGACCGCGAAGCGCGAAGCGCGACCAACTACGCACCACTCGTGGTGGCCATGGGCCTCTGGGCCCTTCTGAGGAGACCCCGCCTTCTCAGAACCAACGCTTCCCCGCCTTCCTTCAAGGCTGCCCCCCCCTCGCGCCACTCCCTTGTGCGCGCCGCCGCCGATCCTCAGCCCTACTATCCTTAACAGAACCAATGGTCGAGCGAAGAGTGGTCGCGCACCACGCGCACAAGACGACTCGTGCAGAAAGCATGTGTCCAACAAATGTGCGCGCAGGAGTCCAACACAAGAGCCAACACAAGACCGGACAAGACATCCCGCTCAAGACCTCGCAAAAGATCACTATGACCGCTCGTTCTTTTTGAAAATATATCGTATGTTCGTCGTCGTCCATCTTGGTCATCGTATGTTCGTTCACTATGACCGCTTGGTCATCGTCCATCTTGGTCATCGTATGTTCGTGGATCATCCTAGCGAATCGGCGACGGCCTGCATGGGCCCTGACTAAGATCGACGTCGACAAGATCCTGCGACATGTTGGCCCTGGTCGTCGTGACCGAGCAAAATTTCAAACGATTCGCGATAACGCCCGTCACTGGGGACGCCGCTCCCCCTCTCACCCTCCGATAACGTCACGACTCGCGCCAACACCGTGTGGGAATAAGCAGGGGTAGCTAACTCCGCGACGGCGACGCCGCGAATCGTGACATCACTGGTCCCCTCCCCCCCTCCCTCCCCACTTCGGTAACTGCCGCTATCGCGAGAGGATGTAAAAACGCAGGCTCTACCAGACATCCGACGCTTCTTCTTTTTGTACGGGGGGCCCTGAAGTCCCGACCCTTTCCCTGGGGTTGGCTTTCCATCCTAGATCGCTTTTGACGGCCCCGAAGCCTGGCGAGGGCCCCTGGAGGCCGAAATCCGCCGATCCGGCGTGTGAGTTTCTGAGAGCGTGGGCTTGAGCTCGCTCAAGCTTCGCTCTTGGGGGGGGGGTCGGGATCCGGCGAATTATCCACGCAATTCAGTGAACGCTCCAGCGCGGGGGGGGGGGGGGGGGGGGGATCAGCGCGGAAGGGGGGTCTAATAATCGTGGGGGGGGGAGCTCGAGCGAGGACGGGGTGGGGTCGAACGGGAGGGGGGGTTCGAGCTCACGGAGGGGGGGGTGGGGCAGCGGGGGGGGGGGCAGCGCGGGGGGGGGGGTCCAAGAATCGAGGGGGGGGGGGGTGAGCTCGAGCGAGGGAGGGGGGGGGTTCGAACGGAGGGGAGGGTCGAGCTCAAACAGGGGGGGAGGGGGGGGGTCCAAGATTCGAGGGGGGGGGGGGGGAAGCTCGGAGCGAGGACGGAGGAGGGTCGGGTCGAACGGAGGGGGGGGTCGAGCTTCAAGCGGGGGAGGGAGGGGGGACAGCGCGGGGGGGACGGGTCCAAGACTCGAGGGGGGGGGGGGGGGGAGCTCGAGCGAGGACGGAAGGGGGTCGAAGGAGGGGGGAGGTCGAGCTCAAGCGGGGGGGAGGTCAGCGCGGGGGGGGCTCTAAGAATCGAGGGAGGGAAGGGGGGGACCTCGAGCGAGGACGGGGGGGGGGTCGAGCTCAAGCGGGGGGGGGTCGAGCTCAAGCGGAGGGGGGGGTCCAAGAAACCGGGGAGGGCAGCGGGGGGAGGAGGGACGTCGTCGTCATCATCGTCCGTCGTTGACCCGGTCGTCGGTCGTCGTCGTCGTCGTCGTCGTCGTCATCGTCCGTTCCCACACGCATCGGGAGCGCCCCGGATCGGCGGCACTGGCCAGAGGCCATTACAATATGCAAAAATAACTCTTGCTGAGATTTTTCACGACGCCAGCATGACTAGGGTTCTCCCTCGAGCATGAGCATCTGTTAATCGATCCCCATCCCCACTGGCATGGCCTTGACCCCACTGGCCGATTCACCCCCCTAGATGGGCATATAGGCTGCTCCCATCGGGCTTCGAAGGGTCTATCCCCAACGGGGGTGGGGGGGACATACCATGGCCCGGTGGAGATGGGGATGGGTCGGGTGTTGCTAGAAGTGTGCCTGGCCCAAGGTGCCCACAGGATCTTCCGGGAGCCCCCCACGGCCTGCAGAGCACCCTCACGAGGCCCAGAGGGCCCCAGGGACTCACTCCTCAGTCGAGCGAACAGCTGGGGGGCACCTTGGGCCAGGGGCACCTTCAGCATTCCTCGAATGGAAATAGGGATGGGCCCACGCCGCCAGGAACTCACTCCACGATCGAGCGAAAAGCTGGGGGGCACCATGGGCCAGGGGCACCTTTCTAGCGCTCCTCGAGTGGAGACGGGGATGGGCCCACGCCGCCCCCCCCCCTCGCCACCGCTCGGACGCCCACTCCCCCGAAACAATTGCAAGAAGATGCGCTCCACGACCTTGGACAGCTGAGAAGCAAGCTGGATGCCTCTGTAGTTGTCCGGACTACTGACAGCAAGCTTCTCAAACAATGGGTGTACCCAATGCTCCCGCCATTGCAAGGGCCGGGAACCAGACCGCAGAATGCGTGCAGTTGTCGATATTTCGCGCGTGGCTTCTCTGCTCGATGCTCGCTTCTCGATGGCCCGACCGCCCGCCCCCTCGAGGCCCGCTGGGGCCGCGGGGCGCGCCCCGGACCGCGGGCCTCGGGCACGGCCTTCCACAGCAGCTCCCCCTGCTTGCCCTCCGCCTGGGGGGCGGGGGGGCTCGCCGACCGCTGCAACGCGACACGGCAGAGGCGGCCAGCACGCGCGAGGCAGCGA